CCCCTCTGTCTCCCACTTTCAACACTGTCTCTTCAGAACAGACACTGGTGGCCAGGAAAAATATCTAATACAAAAAAAAGGTTGCAAATGTCAACTTCTTTTATTTCAGATTGATGAAGCAGGTGCAAGCTTTAACCACTATAGTATTAATGTGCTCCTCGTGAGATTAAGCCACATTTATCACACAGAGGGGAGCTTAAATACAGCTGTCATTACACTGAAAAAACTGAAACATTGACTTTAAATAAATGTAATATGTCAACAGATTTCACATAACTGTATTAGGTTAGTTGAAAACAGCAATATTACGTTTAAAAACTTTAAATACAAAATATTAAGTTTAACTTAATATTATTGCTTTCAACTTCAACAATCTATTGACATAATAATAAAGTGAACATTTCAGTTTTTTCACACACAAACACTCGGACACTTGATTATTGCTCTCCTGCAATCCCTGATAATGACTTGAGAGAAAGTGACTGGACATGAAGGTGCAGGTCTGAGGACTCCACCTGCTGTATGGGACAAAGGTCCTTTCAGGGGACAGCTGTAATGTGTGGCAGTCTTATCTATAAAGCATGTTTGACTCATAGAGGTAGGTTCAAGGTGCTGTTGTTACAACATATGATAAGACAAAGAGAAAAAAAAGAATAAGAAATACAGTAATTTTATTTCACTTTTTTACTTTAAAATGTATATTTTGAAAGTATTCTCTTGGTTTTGGAGGGATACAAATAGGTCTAAATTAAACTTACATTTTGAACTTGCCGTTACTTAACGTCTTTTTTTGGTCATAGAGGGCCTTTATTAGAGATGTATAGAGCAGTGGCAGCTGGTGCATTTTTCTCCAGGGGGGGGCTCTAACAAAATGTAAGCAAACTTATACACAAACTCAAAGCATATGTCCATAGTACAACGCAGGGCTAGCTCAAGGGCACCACAGAACTTGATACAGTCAATTATTTTAGGTAGGACGTGCCTGTTTTTGTCAATCTCCTTTTTATGCTTACTGATCCCTATCCTGTAGCCCTCATTGGACAGCTGTGTTTACTTTCCTAAACATGGCTAGTCGCATAGTGTGGACTCTAGTTTGCTTTAAGTCACTCACATCTGTCTGGATCCATGCTGGGTCTGGTCCATAGACTGGTCTGATCCTGACGTTTGAAAAGGGAGGCAGGGGAGTTGCTACAGGTAGTTAGCCTTCTTGCTAAACCAGCTCCTTGAAAAAGAGCAGGTATACTGCCTTCCTCTGTCCTTAACTCCTGCCTATGTCAGGCTGATCAGGTCTGAGCTCTTTTACTTTCAGCTTTCCCTCCAGTGTCCTCCTCTCAAAGGGTGTTGTGATTAAACATAATTTTCCTTCTCCATATTCGCTATAGTTTTGGTTACACTCCGTCTCCGTCTTACTCTCTCTCACTCAAACGTCAATCACTCACTCTGGCGCTCCTGCTGCCCCCTAGTTGTGGGCCCCGACTTATCAGTAACTTTAGACATCGTAAAGCAATTTGTATCGATATTTTATTGTAGATTATACATTTAACTGACACCAACTATATCATATGTACCTTGTTCATTACAAAAAAATGTATACAATTAATTTAATAAAAATATTTTTGAATGACAATCTAGATTAGAATGTAGGAAGAGGTGGGGCCCTATGGGCCGGCCGTCACTGGTATAGAGTTGATCAGGGGGAGACAGTGGGGGACACACCGCCTGAATGTTCGGCCAGCTCTGGAGTGTGTGGGAGAGAAACTCCCTCTGGAGGGAAAACAGGGATTTTAGCCTTTGCAGACTATTTACATGCACAGAAACCTATAGAACACACTACAGTTACTATTCCTCATTTGTAATCAACTACTTCAAGTTCTATTCATTGAAAGTATTCCTTTATTTATCTGCAGTGGTTCCCCTTGATGCTTTAGAGATGCAATCATTACGTTTCTATTGTGCATCCTCCCCCTGTCATTATGGCTCACTGGGTCATAGTGCTTTCCAACATCTGAGCGTGAGGACTTGGTTTTCCATGCAGATTCCTTCCCTTTGTGCTTGCTGACTTGTGTCTGTGGGAAAGTGGCAGAGGGATCATGGTTTCACGAGCTGACCTGTCTGACAGGTTTGCAGGGGTTCATGTTATCATCTCAGAATAGAGTCTCCTCCTCCAGGGTCAGGAGCTTTTGTTGCACACTAAAGAGCATCTGTGTTTGTCAGGGAACAGAGGGAGGCTGTTGGGTGGGGGAAGACAGACCCCCCCATACACCCCCATCACTACTTCCTGACCCACGCTGCTCGTTTCTCATCTTTCTGCTGATCTCTTACCTCTCTCGCTTTATCTCTCACTCCTTTCAAACCTCTCTTCTCTGATGTTTCCGCAAGTCCCCCCCCTCTCGCTGTCTCTGTCTCCTCCTTCTCTTGTCCGTCCATACTCCTGACGCTCTGCAGTGAGAGCTGCTGATGGAGGAGTTTCAGGCCTCTCGGCAGTGTCGGCTGGTGGAAAATATTTTAGGTGGGGCTGTGGAAATGGTGACCAAACAATACTAGGGGGGTCCGGGGGGATGCTCCCCCGATAAAAAAAAATGGAGAAAAGACCCCTTAAATTATGACTTCTGGTGATGTTCGAGGAGGGGGGGGGGACAAATTGAGGCTTACAAATATGAGAAGACTGATCAATACCTCCATAATCTTCAGTGTGGTTAGCTATGAATCTTCCAAAACTTCCAAATACCTTGTCCTGGACATAGTTTCTACAGCATGAACTGTGCAACAGTACAGCAGGCCCACACAAACTGCAGAACACCGGTTCTTTGGGAACACTCAAAATTACTTAAAATGATTTAATTCCCATTTAACCTGTTAAGGGGCTTTTTTCCCCCGTTTTTTTTCTCACGAAACTGTGTCTCAGGGCTTCTTAAAATGTAATAAACTATTCATGTGTCCTGCTAATTTAACAGGAAGAAACTCAGCTAACTGATGATATGAACCATGTTTACCGAAACAAAACACAAGTCTCACAAGAAGCGTCTAAATGAGCCCTGAGGGAAAAAATGCTAACGCACTCTAGGTATAAATCAATCGATATACTTATCGGATATGCACAAACAAGCTTAGCTAACAAGCTGAGATTCCACAGATTCTAGAAATATAAGTATCATCACTGAGCGATCAGAACTCGCGACAGGGGAAGCAAATACAGACATCACACAACGTAGCTTTAGGTAGCAAAACACAGAGATATGCTCACCTTTAGCTGTTATTCTGATCAAAAACGAGAAAAACGCGGCTGAAGGTTAATCCATAGGTTAATCCAATGTGTCTGTCACTTTGAAAAAATTATTGATAATCCATAATTCCATTTTTATGTCAAAAATTGAGTTTTCATTAGCTGCTAATGATAGCATCCAGAGTGTATGACAGCTTCCTGTTTTGTCTCCTTGGATACGAGTCAAAACAACTCACAGACTGCACCGGGCGCTGATGTAGGCGCCCTGTGGCCATCAGATTTGACGACGCTGATTGGCTGAAATTATGTTTTGGCGGCATAGTTTAAAGACAGCAACAGTTGGCTTCTGCTGCGCTTGCTGCACTCTCGTCTGGGCGCTGTGCATAGCGCCCAGACGAGAGAGGGTAATGATACACGGGCAAGGCCAGGCAGGAAACATGTGACTTATCAGTAACTTTAGACATCGTAATACCATTTTAAACGAGATTTTATTATAGATAATACATTTTACTGATACCAATTATATAATATTTACCTTGTTTATTAAAAATATATTTTTTAAATATATTTTTTAAATATATATATTTTATTTTTTATGTGGGAAGAGGGGGGGCGCGCCCCTATGGGCCGGCCGCCACTGCCTCTCGGGTGTCATTATTACTGATATCTGAGCTGGGAGAAAGAGCTTTTTACTGTCTCGCACAGCTACACACACACACACACACACACACACACACACACACACACACACACACACACACACACACACTCAGATAGGCCCGCTAAACGTAGCTACGACAATAATGCATGCCTAAGTTATGGCTGTGGGACAGATGGAGTAACACGTCTGATTTAATGATGAGAAGACATCGTTTTAACAATTGCCATAAAATGCACAGCATCGCACAGATAGCAGATTTTTCTTTTACATTACATTTTATTTAGCTGAACATGAACATAAACTTTAATACAGAGACATACCTGGTTGCCAGATCGGAGCATTAAAGCCCTGAGCCACTAATGCCCAACAACTTGCTGAGTATTCATCCAGTTCAACGTAAAAGCATTACTGATTTTTTTTTAAAAATATGCCGCTGGCAACACTTAAAGTAATATCTATCTGTGTCTCCGACCCCAGCAAGTGACAACTCAAACATGATGTATAAATATGTACTAATCAGCTGTTAGTTGAAAGTTTTATTTTGAAAAGAAATCAAAGAAAAAACGACCTTAAGTGGTCTCTATTTAGTCTCTTCCCAATTTTTGACATTCATATAGGACTGTAAAAATCAGTGTGAGAAATGTTAACATGGATGTAATCACAATTTAGGTCTCATTAATAATGGGAGAAAAAAAGAACATCCAGAAGAAAACAACATTTGGACTTAACAGGAACAGTAAACATGAACAGTTACATATAGCACCATCTTTTACTTGTGCTAACTGATTTAAATGAAGAAATCCAGTGACTTTGAAAACTGAGAAACTACAAACATGAACATGAAGAAACTAGATTAATTTAATCACATTTGTACAGGTTTTTAGTTTATCACCCTATATTAACGTTTTAAATCTGAGTCAGAGTTTTCATTTTCTATGCTGTTTTTTAAAAATGTTTTTTATTATTAACTCTAAAGTTTTGGCAAAAATACCCAGTGTAGAAACTATAATGAAGATTTGAGTTGAATACAAAGTTCACCTAAAATTGTCTTTTGAGTAAAATGTTTTGTCTTTTCCTTGGTCCTTATTGGTTGCATGTTCACTCATTTCTCCTCAGATGACATGGATGGAGCTCCTCCTCCACCTGCTGCAGAGCGTCAGGTGAGAAAAAAAAAGTAGACGCAAAGCACTATGTTGTTTATATTTTAGATGACAAATTCTACAATGAAATGCATTTTAATATAGTCAATTCTACCTTGAAATAAGTGTTCCTATATTAAAAAGAATTTCAACAGATCATCACATGATCTGTTGTCTTTAGTGATGGAAGAAGTATTCTGATCTCCTATTTAAATTAAAGGTCACCTATCATGCTATTTTTAGGCAATAGCATAGGTCTCAGATATATAAAAATATATAAAACACATGTCTATGAAGTGTTTCGCTCAAAATACCAAACAGATCTCCCATTCTAGCCATGCCTCATATCCCTCTATTTCACTTCCTGTTTCAAAAGTGCTGATTTGGGGTATAAAGCTTTAAAAATAAAAGAAGAGAATTGATTAAAAATAAAAAAGCAGGGGGCTGAGCTCATGCGGGACCCGGCAGCTACTGTTTAAACTAAATGCTGCGGTGATGAAACGCCATATCATGGATTATCAAGGATTCTCTCTGAAACAGTTTGGAGCTCAAAGGCTTTCTCTCTTGCCGGTTATACCACAAGGTGAGTTACTTTTTCTTTCCTGCTTCTTCACACACATGCTCTCTAGTACAGGTTAGCTCTGAGTGTTAGCGATGCTAATGTAAACACCGACCATATTACGTCCAAAACAGTCGGGCATTGTTTCTGATAGCAACGTTTCTGATAGGGCCGTGGGTCCACATTTCAGATATTACGTCATATCGGACGCAAATCTGGATCAGCTCCGCTGTAGCCCCGTTTTTAGAGATTTGGGTACGGAGGAAAAGAGAGAGGGTTTTATTTTCTGACGCTGCGTGAGTTCCCAGACACACCGGGGACACATCTTTATTTATAAAAGACATCACAAAGTGCATTTTGCATGATAGGTCCCCTTTAAGTAGCAATACCACAGTTTAAATAATCCTGCATTCAAAATTGTACTTAATTCACTAAAAGTATGAGCCTAAAAATATACTTAAAGTACAACAATTAAAAGTTATTGTCTGAAAAGATGGAGATTTGCATACACACATGTACAGCAGGAACCTTATGAAAAGTCTTATCTAATCTTATTTAAAAACAGACAGCAGCGATATGATGGACTAACATGGTAGGTGTGTCTTTGGATGATGTGACCATCTGATAAGAGCCGAATGAGAGGAGGGATGGAAGTAAACATGATAAATTAGAAGAGCTTAGTTTTCCTGACTGAACTTACGTTCATTAGTTGATTTGCATTTTGTATTAAAAACTAAATCTGTAAAGTATTTAAGGTTATCATTTAAACTTAAATATAAAATTCTGATTCTGATAGCACAGCAAAAGTCAAATGTAACATGAAATGGGAATCCTGAACCAGTACCTAAGACCTGTGCTTGGTTACATTCCACCAGTGGCTGACTTCAATCAGAAGTCTTTTATGTGAAGTGTATGTTAAGGTTTGGTCTGATGGATTAGTTGCATCTATTTGGATGTTTGGGAGGATTTTGACCATCTTGGTTCTGAATGGAAAATGGCCAAGGACAATATTGACTCCCTTGTTGTGTCTCCACCCCCACACCTCTAGCTGGTGCAGTCGCTGGGCGTGGCCATCTACCGAGCTCTGGACTGGGGGCTAGATGACAGCGAGGAGCGGGAGCTCAGCCCCCAGCTGGAGCACCTCATCGAACGCATGGCGGGGGGGCACCAGGGCGGAGAGGGGCTCAGCACAGCCAGGAACGGCACCACAGATGAGGGCTACAGCGGCCAGGAGGAGGAAGAGGAGGAAGAGGAGGAGCAGCAGGGAGGGACCAGGCCGGTGTGTACCATCCGCCAGGTGATGGCGCTGTGTGCGTCCCGGCTGGCTGACCCTGGCCTGGCTGCGGACCACTACCAGGCTGTGTGCAGGGCTCTGTTTGTGGAGACCCTCGAGCTGCAGACCTTCCTCATCAAGATCAGAGATGCCAAGCAGGTGCGTTAGGCTGTCATGGCAATTTTAGGTAACCCTTGATCACCTCTACTTAAAAATGTGTCTCCTAAATTGTCCTAACTTGACTGGAGCAGAAATTAAAGGTTTGTTGTGCATGTAAATGGTCTGCAAAGGCTAAAATCCCTGTGTTCCCTCCAGAGGGAGTTTCTCTCCCACACACTCCCCCCTGCCTGCCTGATAACATAATGACATCACTATGTAACACTGGCACTTCTATTGGCTAGCGCTCTTAAACATTGTACGTGATAGGCTAAGGGGCGGGACATCTCTAAGCGGTGGACACTACATACAGTACACCTGAATATGAGCAGAATATATCTCAATAAACTAGATTCCATTTGAATTTTTCCCCTTTTAATAACCCTGAACAATAATTTGTTTCCATATTATTCTCACACATCCTCATTGCATTTCAATTGACTAAAATGCAACTACTTTGCACATTTTAACCCATGTGCAATGCCTTGTTGACATGCTGCTGCACATTTTGTTTCTTCCAATTTGTATCAATACCGAATATCTAATCTAATTTAATCTATATTACTTCCTGCTTCCTTACAGTGCAGACACTTTTCTGCTTGCTCTTGCCTCTGCTTACTTTTTTATGCTGATTTTCCTATTTTTCTTAACTTATCACTGGGACAGTTATTCTTCGTAAATAGACGGAGGGTTTCAGCCATATTTCAATATTTGTACGACGACCTCAGTCTTACAGTAGCGTGGCCTAGCAACAGCTAAAGCCTGATACTGCATGCTATTTAGCTTAAGCTAGTTGGCAGCAAAATGCCTCCGTTCTCTACAGATGACTTCACAAACTTCTACAGAAGATGGCCGTGTTGGAAATGAAAATGCAACGGTTGGAAGTTAACGTGGAAGTGAATGGACTATGTGGGAATGACGCCACTTTACCAGTGTTGCAAAAGAATGGAAAAGGGCATGCTAACTCACAGCTAGTTAGCAGCTACAAGGATTCCAAGGAACAGGAGGGCTGTGTACCGGGTAATAAATCTACAAGTGGTAGTCCTCCCTGGAACTCTCTGGGTGCAAAGCCTAAGAGTAAATCATTTCCATGGGATTTGGGAGGACGAATAACAGGCAGAGCCCAGCGCTCTGAAATCTGTGATCGACCGGCTGGCCTGCATTGTTATCACCCAGGAAGAGCGCCTCTTCAACCCCTGTTCCTACTAGGAAACAGCTGTGGACAGCTGCTAAAGGGAGAAGTACAAACAATCCTCCTAAACCACCAAGTGTGCCAATCCAGAACAGATACGATCCACTGACCCAGAACCGGAGATCTCTTTCTGATGACCTGGATAACCTGTCCTCTTCACACAGCAGGGTAAGGACCAATAGTTACTCCAAAAGTAAAAGGCTAGAGGGAAAGCTAACGACTGGGCCTGAAACTCTGATTGTGGGTGACTCTGCTGTAAGAGATGTAAAATGTCTGTGTAGTAAGAACAACACCAAAGTACTCTGTTTTCCCAAGGATGTGGTCTCTGACTTGGCTGAGAAGATCCTGCATTTTGGGGCTGAACATCCGACTGTGAAGAATGTGGTACTACACATTGGAACAAATGATGTTGTGAAACAACAGTCAGAAGTGCTGAAAGAAGACTTTAAATGTTTGTTGGAAACTGTCAGCTCTCTAAATACGGAGGAGTTCATCAGTGGCCCTCTACCACCAGTCAGAAGAGGAGTGGAGAGATTCAGCAGATTGTTTGCACTGAACACCTGGCTTTCAACTGTCTGTACTGACCATTCTGTTCATTTTATTGACAATTTTAACTTTTTCTGGGACCGCAGACATATTTTTAAGGCAGATGGACTTTGCCTGAACAAGTCAGGAGTAAAATAGTTTATCTCTAACATATTCAACTGCCTGTGTCATCAATCTGTTCCCTCTGCCAAGGACAAGCAGCAAGAGGAATCAAAACAAGAGAAAGACATCACATCGCGCAGAAAACCTTGAAGAAGTATCACTGCACCGGCCTGAGGAATGTCTTGATTATGGGAGACCTATGACACAAATGGAGGAGTCTCCACCGCCCTTCACCCCCCCTATCAACGCTGTAAAGGAATATTTTATTCTGATGTCTTTGTGTTCTTAGCTGTCCTGAGAAACTTTACATGTCCCAGGTTTTATGGGTTCTCTTTCCTGTGTGGGGGAAGGATTTACTGCCCGATGCCTTTACGAGACAGAGCATCTTTGTTTGTTCATCTGGAATCGATTGGGGTAAAGGCCCGCGTTTCTAGGCTCCGCCCCTTCTCAGAGACCAGGTTCGAGCGGTTCCGTCTTTGTGTGGGCAGAATTAATTTGGAAGCTTGCATTAAACAGTGCGAGTTGCTTTGTTGATCCTCCGGCCGTTTTGTCTCTCAATAAATATCAGTGTATTGACTAAGGCGAATCCAGTTTCCCTAATTTCAAGAACAAATACTCAACATTGCTGCAAAGAAGTTTTCCATATCAAACGCCTTTGAGGATACTCTTCCTTCACCCCCCAGCTCTCTCTACTCTCCACTCACCCTTTCACCCTCGCCCACCCTCCTGGAGTTCGATGACCACATGAAAGAGATACACAGGGTTGCCACCAATTCCTTCCTGGAGTTCACTGAAAATATGAAGGCGATACACAGGGTTAGCAGCATGTCCTTGACCCCCGTCCCTCAACGACGCCCACCAGAATCACCGAGGCAGAGACGCGCACCATCTCCCCCGACTTCATCACCATGCCTACCACAATCATCCGGACCAAAACGACCTTCCCCCCTTCAAGAAAGCATCTGCGGTCTCCGAAGCCTGATAAGAATGTGTGTGTACAAAACGCAGCAAACTGATATTTGCTGGGTCCAGGCTCAAGGGCGTATGGCACTCTCAACTCTTTCCAGGACATGTCAGGGCCCTGCCTGCCAGTTGCTTTGCCGATATCTGTGTTGATAGGTAATATATTAAGAGCGGTGAATAAGCTTAGAAACAAGAAGAGCTCAAACGTTTGTGTGAGTTTATCTAATTTAGCAGTGATTCCATGTCAGCCACAGCTTGCCACAAAAAACCTGACTGATAGTGTATCTAACAAACTTAAACTAGCTTTATTAAATGTCAGGTCTTTGTCAGGAAACACATTTTTAATCAATGATTTTATCACTGAGCACAATCTCGATTTTATGTTTTTAACAGAAACATGGATTGAACAAAATAACAGTGCAGCTGTTCTTATCGAATCAACCCCTCCCAACTTTAGTTTTATGAGTCAGGAAAGAATGCATAAGAAAGGGGGTGGAGTTGCTATTCTGTTCAATGATTCCCTTCAATGCAGGAAGACATCTTATGGGAACTTTGATTCTTTTGAATATGTGGCCCTTCAGCTGAAATGCTCCTCTCGAGCTCTGTTCCTAAATATCTATAGACCACCCAAATACTGTGCAAGCTTTTGTGATGACTTTACTGAACTGCTGTCTATAGTGTGTATTGACTTTGACCGTCTAGTCATTGTTGGTGATTTTAACATCCATGTTGACAACCCCCAGGATAGAGGGGCTAAAGAACTGTTTTGGTTTCTTGATAACTATGGACTGACTCAGCATGTGACGGAGCCCACGCACAATAAGGGGCACACTCTGGATTTAATTATCTCAAAGGGTCTGAATATCTCTAAGGTTGTGGTGACTGATGTTAAACTCTCTGATCATTCCTTTGAGAGCTCTATTTCTGTTCACACAAATGTTCAAAAAGAGGTAACCACAAAGCGATATTTAACTGAAAATACTAGGGAAATGTTTACTCAGAATTTTTCTTCCACACTTGCCCCTGCTAACATCTCAGTAAATGAGCTAGTAGATCATTTTAATTCAAAAAATTTAAAATGTTATAGATGCCATTGCTCCAACTAGGGCAGTGGTTCTCAAAGTGGGGGGCGCAGAGGCATGCCAGGGGGGCACGAGAGACCAGGAGGAAAAATGGTTATAAAAAAAAAAAAAAAAAATCATAATTTGAAAAATTATTGATTCGAAAATAATATTTTCATTTCATTTCAAACCTTTATTTAGACAGATAAATCCCATTGAGATCATTGATCTCTTTTTCAAGGGAGACCTGCTCAAGTAGTTCCACATGAAACATAAAAACATAAATAGAACAACAAAAGGACATCATACAGCATCATTTACATAATTATCCACATAAACAGGTACCTATAGCTTCCGATTGAGTAGCATCCAACCGAGCTTTAAAAACATTTAGTGGCACCAGATTGTTCAGTTTCCATTTAATTTGCAGACTATTCCAAGACAGAGGAGCTGCGCATCTAAAAGCTGTCTTCCCTAAGACAGTCCTAGCAGTTGGCACATTTAATAAAACCACAGCATTCGATCTTAGGCAGTAGCCACTTACACTTTTCCGTGAGATCAGGGAGCAGATATAAGATGGAAGTTTCCCTAACATGGCTTTGTATATAAAAATGTACCAGTGACTGAGCCTCCGTACAGTTAGTGAAAGCAAACCAGCCCTTGCATACAGGGTACAGTGATGGGTTAATGCTTTACAGTTTGTCACAAATCTCAGTGCGCTGTGATACGCAGCATCTAACTTGTTCAGGCAATTGGCAGGTGCATTCATATACATCAAATCACCATAGTCCAGCACAGGTAAAAAAGGTCACAGTGACTAGCCTTTTCCTGGCCTCAAGCGAGAAACAGGACTTGTTCCTGTAGAAGAAACCTAGCCTAACCCTCAGCTTTTTAAGCAGGTTATTGACATGAAGTTTAAAAGTGAGACAATCATCAAGCCAGATACCAAGGTATTTGTAACAGGTAACCACTTCAAGTTTTATTCCTTGTGTAGTTACAATATCTAAAACAGGCTCTGGTGTCTTTTTAGCTTTAGAAAAGAGCATTACCTTGGTTTTCTCTACATTTAAAATAAGCTTTAGTTCAGAGAGCTGAGTCTGAATAATGTTAAAAACATCCTGTAATTTAACACCAGCCTC